AGGAACCCACCGGACCCGCGGAACAATCAGCCGCTGGGGCCGGGCTGAGGCTCCGGAGTCCACTCCATGCAGGAAAAAAAAATAAAACTAAATGAGAAGCGCTGCCCCCCGAGCACTCGAGGGTGTCCCAGGGAGACAGGGAGGCCACTCTTCTCGCGCAGGAGCCAGCCGGCACATGCTTATCTTCCTTATTATTTCTCCCCCTTTTTTTCCTAAAGCATCTGTTTTCAGCCCACTTAATTTGTTCCTTTTATCTATATTAAATTACCATTTTTTCCCTCCCTCTTCCCCTGTAAAATGTCACTCGCGAAATAACTGCTTCTACAACTCTCTCTTTTCCTCCCCTGTTTTATTTTATTTATTTTTTTATTTTTTTTATTTTTTTTTATTTATTTTTAATGTCGTTAGGGAGAGATTACACAGAAGTAAATGGTGGAGCTGATCATTGCTAAACCGGTTAGAATTCATGTCATGCGGAACATTAGAAATTATGCCTCTTTGAGGAACCGTATTTAGCAGACATGAAAGAAAAGAAATTACCTCCTCCTCGAGCTGGCAAATTGGAATGCCATTAACCTCGCGGGCACGGGGACGCGCCGGCGCTCCCGGGGCCGGGTCAAGGGCACGGGCTGGCCCTGGGGATGGAGCTGGTGGATGGGGCTGCTGCGGGGTGCCCGCGGTGCGGCTCGGCATGGCATGGCATGGCATAGCATGGCATGTCATGGCATAGCATGGGCACAGCTTGGCACAGTGTAGCATGGCATGGCATAGCATGGCTCGGCATGGTACAGCTCGGTGCGGCGCGGCATGGCATGGCATGGCATAGCATGGCTCAGCATGGCACAGCTCAGCACGGCACGGCATGGCATGGCATAGCATGGCATAGCTTGGCAGAGTGTGGCATGGCGTGGCATGGCATGGCTCAGCATGGCACAACTAGGCACGGCATGGCATGGCTCAGCATGGCACAGCTTGGCACAGTGTGGCATGGCTCAGTATGGCACAGTGTGGCGTGGCATGGCATGGCATGGCATGGCTCAGCATGGCACAGTGTGGCAGAGTGTGACATGGCATGGCATGGAATGGCTCAGCATGGCAGAGCTTGGCATGGCATGGCATGGCATGGACAGTGTGGCACAGCAGGCACCGGGCACAGCTCACGTCAACTCCTTCTCTGCGTGGGGTTTAGTGCCAGGGAGGAAAAAAAAAGGAATGGGTGACAAAAAAATACACACACCCCCCCCAGGGAGGGTCCGCGGCGTCCCTGGTGTCACCCCAAAGCGGCTGTGCCCGGGCTGTGCCAGTGGCACCGGCGAGATGGTGATGGTGGGGGGACAAGGACCCGACTGTGCCCCCTCTGCAGTTGCCCCGTGGCTTTATTTGGTAAAAATAAATCGAAGGGGTCCTGCAGGGCAGCAGGGGGTGTCCCCCGTGTCACCATCCCCGTGTCACCATCCCCGTGTCACCATCCCCACCGTGTCCCTGCCCTGGCACCGGAGGGGAGGGACGGTGGTGCCCGGTGCCCCTGGAGGAGACGGTGTGTGCCGGCTGTCCTGTGAGTGGCACCCCCATTCCCCCTGCTTCCAGCTAAAATTAAACTTTATTGCGAATAATGCTCTCGCCCCTTCTTTAATTCAAAAAAAAAAAAAAGAGAGAGAAAAGAAAATTAAATTCCTGTAAAAACATATATATAAAAATCACATTTTCTCATATTGAGAGGGGACTTTCTCCAAGATAATTATTGCAATTACTCCCTTTCTCTCTCCCAATGAGTATTATTTTTTTATTCTGTGCCTTTATCCTCATTTTGCCTGTTCAGGGAGAGCCCTGGGGGGGGTGGGGGCAGCCCTGCCCCTGCTCTCAGCCCTCTGCAGCGGGGACAAAAGCCACCCCAGCCATTGTCCCCTGTCCCCAGAGGGAAGCTCCAGCTCTGCTGGGACCTCTTTGATCTTTGGTGATTGATCTGTGGTGACCCCGGGAGGGGGGACATGGACCCAACGCGTCCCTGTGGGATATTCCCCCCGTGGTGGGGGCACTCGGTGGGGCAGGTTTTGCCCCCCCCCAGGGCAGAGCAGCCCCCGTGGTGGCTTTTAAGGTTGGTGTCACCATGTGGGGACTGTACCCTCCCAGCCCAGACCCCCCATCACCAGTCCCTTGCTGTGGGGCTGGATGTGGCCACCCATCTCCCAGCCCCACTCCGGGCATCCCGGTGATGCCACAGGGGGTCACGACGTGTGTGGACCCTCGGGGGGGTCCCTTCCCCATCCCCATGGTGGGGTCCAAGCTGCTGTCCCCCCCCAAAACCCCCTTCTTTCTCTCCCCTTTGCTTCTCTGCAGCCGCCTCCTCCCCGAACACGGTGGACAAATCCTGCCTGAAGCTGAAGGTCTACGTTCGGCCAACAAGTGAGTGAGCCGGGGGGAGACATGGGGGCCTGGGGGGTCCCTGTCCTGCCCCATGGGGTGAGGGTGATGCTCTCGGTGGCCAGTGGTCCCCTGAGGCCCTGCCGGAGCCCCCGCGGCGGGAGCATCTCATTGACTGCTGGTTTCAGATAGAAAGGGGGGGGGGGATAAAAAAAAGTAATAATTTCTGCACAGTGGCTACTTTTCAGAATCAAATAACTCAGCCATTTAAAAAAACAAATTAATAATTTTCTTCTCCTGTTAACGTGTAATTAGCAAATGGCAGCAGCTCTCCCTGGGGAAGGGCTGAGTGCCTGCGAAATGTCACCGTTTAAAAGGATGTCTTTCTTTTTTTTTTTATTTGCATGGCTTTAAAATAAAACCCAATATAATGAAACCATCTGTAAAAAATCATTCTGTTTTGTTCAGGACTCGGGCGTAATAGGGAGAAAAAATCTCTCCCGATATTATTTTTGAGTATTTTAATAATATCAGGATTTATTGTTGTGCCGCTGCTGCCGGGCAGAGGAAGGGGCTGCCTTTGTGCTGCCGAGGGCAAGGGGCTCTGCCCCGGGGGCTGCGGGGGGTCCCCAGGGGCCGTCCCACCCCGGGGACCCCTCGATGGGCCCCAGCCCTGGGGGAGGTCCCTGGAACCTCCTCATTTCCAAGCGCCCGGCACGGGGGGACCCCATTCCTGGGTGACCCCGCACAGGGACCCTCCAGGACCCCCAGACAGGACCAGGCTCTGCTATTCCTGGCTCCCGAGCCTTAAAAATCCTAAATCCAGTGACAAACAGGAGCGAGCTGAGCCCAGGGAGCCTGTTGGGAGCTTCAGACACGGAATAATGTGTTCCCCAGTGCTCCAGGCTCCCACCAGTTGGGGTTTGGCTGTGGGACCCCTGGGCTGGTGGCCAGTGGGTGCCCCTGGTCATGGCCACAGCTGGACCACCCCAGCTGATGCCCCTGGTCTGAGGGCACCCATCTGGGGCACGGGGGGCTGTTTGGGG